ACAAATTTGGACTTTCAAATTGTTTCACTAAATGAGCAAATAGAGTCAGATTGTCGAGTTACAGGTTATCCAAATTCATAGACATTCTGAAAATCCAATGGGATATCAGGAGAGTTTACGTGCCAAATTGACTGGAATGAGATTCTGCCTCAGAACATTCAGGATGCCTGAGGGAAATTCGCATATGATTAAACTCTAGTCCTATTCCACAAACTAAAGTTTCATAGAACAGTCTCAAGCCGTCGACTGAGTCGTGTAATGTTGCACGTAGTGGGCGAGGCTTCGCAGCAAGCACATATATGACAACGGGCCAATGTATAAGCATTCTTGGCACTTCATGTGCCACAGTGCCCCCTGTTAAAATTGTTCTCTTTACCAGAATTAGACTTTAATGCTGTACTAGTCAGCATGAGGTTACTACTATACCGGAGTTGAATACCGACCCCATCATGTGTGTTCCGAGAACGAGGCTGCGCTACGAAGAGTTTGGAATGATGACAGTATAGATCATTCGAAGGACGGCCTTTGCATGTTGCCAGGAAAAACAACCGGGCTTGTGGATCTTGAATATCAGGGGATGTCCCTGGCTCAAATTCAAGATTAACAAACGATGGTATTATGACCCCGTACAATGGTCATTGAACATGTGTAACGATGACTGAAACAGAAACCTGAAGTGGCCGTTACAGTTGTGGTTAACAATAACCAAGGTTAGTGATATAATGTAAATGAAATTCAACTCTTAATCATTTACTGAGAAACCTCATTGATTACTAAATTTCTCCAGTCTGCTAAAATACAAAACTTCTTATCAATGCAACATTAATGCTAACACGTTTCAGAGTATGATAATTCTGTGCTGTTATCGGCAAATGGAAGTCTCGGTATATTACTGTTAAAGACATTATTAATTAAATGTTCATTATGTCCTCTCGAGCGTTCCCAACGTCACTAAACTGATGTAATAAATAATACATTAAATTAATATGTCAATAATATGTAAAAAAAAATATGTTATATAAAATAATGTCAAAATAATACGTAATATTGGAGAGAACGAGCTGTAACGGGGTACTGGAGTAGCCTCTCGAGCGGTCACAAAATCACTAAATAACAGTGACTTTGGCTTGGACCTTGGACCCGATTTGGCTAATCGGCTTGCGAAAAGTTCTATTTTTCTTGAGAATTAGCAGACTGAAGGTAAGTTTTGGGTGTAATATTCATGTATTGTATATTGCTTTTACAGTGTCAGTGAGGTGACTGCCTAGTTGCCAGCCTTCAGTATCGCCAACATTACTTTAATATGGTAAAGTGGTTGTTGGACTGAACTGTCAATCTAGTGGCAAAGAACTGGAATCTCCACAGAATTGCAATTAAAGCTCAAAACTGATTCTGAGATTGTTTATGTAGTATGGTTTCTAAGATCGGAGATCTAATAGGCATACCAGAGTACCCCCTAGACCAACGACTGACTTTTTCCCTGTTAGCAACAGTTGGTTCGTTTCCTTATAAGCCACTTCGACCATTCAGAATGGGCAATCCTCCTCTTGCTGGCCGAAACCATCACAAAAACCTTCCTCAACACTGAAGTTGTTCTAGCTTGAAAGATATTCTCTGCAATGTTAACATTACTGTTTATGCTATTAATCATTTGCTTTTGATCTGCTTGTCAAAACAACTTCACTAGCAAGCAAAATAGCACAGCCACCGTGTAAATAGTGAGTCACTGGCAGGTTAACCTCCCAGAAGTCACCCGCCAAGGCTAGCCTCATATATTCTGGCGCTGAAGGTGGCAGCCAATGACGTAAGCAGCTGTCGGTCACAACCATATGCTCGCAAGTAAATTTCTACAACATGGTCATCAATAAAGTAACGTTTTTCTCAGTGCTGTGTGATGAGTTAATACGATGAGCCCTCTAACTCCCCCCATCTGCTGTTGATTAATGGGTATTCTCAAATAGGTTTTATTCCGGATATATAAATTTATACCGTTAAATGAAAAATGTCAGGTGTGCCTAATAGGGTTCGCTGTGGATGGGACATAATCTGGCTGAGTACATGCTTAGTCTTACTCAAGGTAGGACGAACTTATATATACGAGTTGGCTGTTGATAATTGGATGAGTGTGTTTGATGTGTAGGTATTAAGCTACGTTTTAGTGTCACCATATCTGTCGAATATTTTAGCGTTACTCTTCAGTATCTCTTGTGATGGTTTGGTCCTGTGTTGAAATAATCTGAACTGTTTTGAATTCTTGTTGTCTGTGCATAGTCGGGTAATTATATACTGAGAGCTTTGGGTCTGACAGTCACTGTTATCTAGGCATAGACAATACTGTTATCTTAGCAAAGTGTTTCAGCTTCAACACCAAGTACAAAATTTATTGTTGGAAAGTTCCTTTTGTTAACCTTCTACCCCAGTGAAGAGCCTAAGATATATATATATATATATATATATATATATATATATATATATATATATATATATATATATATATATATATATATATATATATGAATGACATAAGAGCTGATTAAATACATTATATGACTGTGGTTCCATCATAAGGACTTAGTAGGCTATCTGGAGTATGTTACCTAAATGGTGTTACGCAAGACTGTAGTGTCTTACTGAGTGATCAAGACACGTGACCAACTCGTAATCAGGAAACAGGATTGTAGATCTATGGAACACATTACCAGTAACTCAATATACTTGGGACTGATGCATTGTTTTAAGCGTAAATTAGACATATAAATGAGTTTGGGTAGATGTAAATAGGAGCTGCTTCTGGTTCAATAGGCTTTCTGTAGCTTCAAATATTCTTATCATAATGGAACAGGCTTTCGTAAAGTCACTGACACAGCCATTAAATAAATTACACAATCATTAAATCACCGACACAGTCATTGTTAACATAATGTCAGAAAAACGTACATAGATAAACTCCCATGAGCAAAATTATATAAATTAAAAGACCAAAAATAACTGAAAAATAAAGTTATGCAGTTAAAATAAATTAAAACACACTGGAAATATTAACGAAACGGGCAGAGATAGACATTTAGATAAACAATGATAGCAATATAATGGAGATATTGGTTGACAGGCAAGCTAAGGGGCTGACGAGATACTGGTGAAGTATGCGGTAGATGTTGGTAAAGTATGTGGTAGATACTGGTGAAGTAATGTGGTAGATGTTGGTGAGATATGTGGCAGATGCTGGTGAATTATGTGGTAGATACTGGTACAGTATGTGGTAGATACTGGTACAGTATGTGGTAGATACTGGTGAAGTATGTGGTAGATGTTGGTGAGGTATGTGGCAGATGCTGGTGAATTATGTGGTAGATTCTGGTGAAGTATGTGGTAGATGCTTGTGTTGGCATGAGTATGATAACGCCAATAACAGGGTTATACTGTGAAAAATATAATTATCTGACAAAATTTTGGAGAGGGATATACTGGTGGTAAGGAGACGGATATACTGATGGTAAGGAGAGAGATATACTGATGGTCAGAAGAGGGATATACTGATGGTAAGGAGAAGGATATACTGATGGTAAGGAGAAGGATATAATGATGGTAAGGAGAAGGATATACTGGTGATGATTGCACCATCAAAAATACTGGTGATGGTACCTTTGTGTATACAACACTGCCATACTGATGATCCTAGGATGATAATGTGAATATTTGCAGAAGGAAGATTTATTAATAACAATAATTAAATAATAACAATTCATTGTGCCGGGGGACAGGAAGCCAGCGTGTATTCATACACGGTAGACTTGGCAACCACATAACAAGCAGACTAACTCCTGCGTACCTACTCACTGCTAGCTGAAAGGATATTTGCCCCAATCATTTCTGTCCCGCGCGGGATTCGAACCCGGAATTCTGGAGTGTGCGTCGAGAGCGAACCCGACTGCACTACCGAGGGTGAGTGTACAGGGTTACTGAGAGCAATATAATGCTAATCATACTATAGGTTGAGAGTGGCCCTTAGTTATGATATCATAAGTTACCCAGTAGGATAAGTGTCTCGAGTGACGATAACATGATAGTTACCGCACTAGGGTGACAGTGCCACTGGTTATGATGATAATATAGTTAACCCCACTAGGGTGACGTGCCACTTGGATAATGATGGCTTTCGGTTAATACTGGCACTAGAGTGAAGGCACTAGGCTGGTAATTATACTAGGATGATGGCATTAGACTGGTAATGATTCTAGGGTGACGGCACTTGGTTGGTACTGACTCTAGGTTGAGGGCACTAGGGTGAAGGCACTAGGTTGGTAATGACACTAGAATGAAGTCACTAGGACAGTAACGACGCTAGGGTGATTATAGTCCACATTAGGTAATCGCACAAGGGTGATGGCACTAGTGATAGTATTACGTTTCCAGTGTGGCGATGGCACTATATTGGTAATGGCACTAGGGAAGTAATGGCACTAGGGAAGTAATGGCACTAGGGAAGTAATGGCACTAGGGAAGTAATGGCACGAGGGAAGTAATGGCACTAGGAAAGTAATGGTACTAGGGAAGTAATGGCACTAGGGAAGTAATGGCACTAGGGAAGTAATGACACTAAGAAAGTAATGGCACTAGGGAAGTAATAGCACTAGGGAAGTAATGGCACTAGGGAAGTAATGGCACTATGGAATTAATTAATGTCACTAGTTGGCATATGACACTATGGTGATGGTGGCACCATGATTGTGGTGCCACTAAGGTGATAGTGGCACCATGTAGTAATACCACTAGGATGATGGCACTAGAGGAAAGGTAACACTAATTGAAGAAAGGCTCAACTATACGAGCGGTTGTTAGTGGTATTTCATCTGGTGAAGAAACAGTTCCCCCCAAGATGTGAGATGCAGCATCAGTAGAACTCAACATATTTTTTTTTCAAACCAAAAGGGACAATTAACCACCAAGGATGAATCAAATCAGAGTGAAGACTTGATGGCGGTCGGTCGGTCGGTGCCTACCTTCGTCACCAGCCATCTTGTGATACACAGAGGAAGACAACGAGAATAACCACACCCACGGGCTACCGCGCCCCAACTAACGCCAACCTGAACCAAGTGGTGCCGGCTATACTCGCATCCGGCACTGTGCCCCTAGCCCGACCTCTCTCCTCCCCCCCCCCCTAGCCCGACCTCGTCCCCCACCCTAGCCATTTCACCCCACAATCTTCATTTCCAGTTCGCATTTTCTCTATTCTCGTCTTCCGTCCATCGTGTGGATCGTCTCTAAACTGAATACTTCTTAAAGTGTTTTCGAGTTGAAAAACAATATACGGGGTGTAAATAGTGGAGTATACATTATGTTTTTTGTTAAATCTTGCGATGGTTTGTGGAAAAAATGGCAGCGCGGGATGGGCGATGGTGGTGCCAAGTTGCTGGAGAAGGGACGCATGCGCGGGGTTATTTCTGCCCACGCCTGGTGCCAGCCAGTGCCTACCCAGTCTTACCTCTCGACAATTAAGGACAACAAATGCCGAGTGCCGCAGGAAGCTAAGATGCTCTCGTAGTTATTATCAACACAAACAAGTCCATCTGCTCCTGGTCAACCTTAGTGATTAGAGTAGGGTGAAGGATGATATACGGCAGGGTGAGAGGAGTTAGTATTGAGCCGGCGGGGTTGTAATTACCTACAGCTCCTTCCCCCCCAGGACGGTCATGGGGGGCATGCATGCTCGCCACGTACCTATCTCCAATTACACCATCTTTCTCCACGCTCTTACTGTCCTTTGCCATCCTCACTCAACACTTCACGGTAAAATCAAGGACTTTTCAGGCGTTGTCAAGACCGCTGTAAGCTTACCCGACATATCTTGCTATCTACGGGGGTCTAATGGGTAAATAGGCTACTCATCTCTACTTATTGATACAATTTACAGCCTTATTTCCTTTGTATGACTGTATTTGCTGCTCCATTTGTAGTATATTAACGTATTACGTCAACTCATAATATATGAGCATATTAACATTAATATATTAGCATTAACATATCAACATGACTGACATATTAAGCTGAGGGGAACGAGGTAAAATTGGCATTATCGAGCCTTTGTTACGGTGTTTGAGTCGCAGTTATAACCAATTAATAAATCATTTGACTAATAAATGACTGTACATTTATATCTGTCTTAATCTACAAGATTTTAAATATATTATTTCCTTATAAAAGAATCTAATTATAAAATACAATTATGAAAGAATATCAATAGCCTAACACCACTCATAAAAATTCTACATTTGTTTATTAAATGGCGTCAATATACACACATGCTTAGCATTCATTAATGCTAATTTAGCATATATTAATGTAAATCTTCGTCTTCTGGTGTGTGGTTTGGTCATTATAATTATCATTGACCTCGTTAGGTCTAGGATTTTAGGGTCGTACGCTTATTAAGTAAAACCTCTTCAAATTAGACGCTTTAATTGTCAAATCGTGAGAATGTTCTTGGCAGAAATGGGAGACTTATATAATGGCTAAACTAGTTACATCTTATTTTTATTTATGTGTGATGCAACCTTCGTACTTTGAGGGCAGGTGGTGGATGAGTCACACAGTGAGCTCAGGCTCCGCTCATGCAACTCATCATGAGGCAGGTGATGGATAAGTCACACAGTGAGCTCAGACTCTGCTCATGCAACTCATCATGAGGCAGGTGGTGGATAAGTCACACAGTGAGCTCAGACTCTGCTCATGCAACTCATCATGAGGCAGGTGGTGGATGAGTCACACAGTGAGCTCAGACTCTGCTCATGCAACTCATCATGAGGCAGGTGGTGGATGAGTCACACAGTGAGCTCAGACTGTGTGCACACGCTGCCCACTTGCCAAACTTGGAACACTTGACTAGGATTTTGGATAATATGTCATCTTTAACAACATTGGAATATGGTAAAGTTTTTTCTGTTGAATCCTCGTTACAAAATTTAGGTGAGACTTGTATAATAGAGATAAATGTAGTTAGCTGTATATTGTTGCCCTAGTTACGGCTTTACTGCAACATTGCACTTGCATGATGTTGTAAAACCTTTATTTTAAAGTTTGTGCTGTTCTGTATCACTGTATTTATGTATATCACTTGAGTTACAATGGTCCATGTGTTCTGTAACACACTACATTTCTTCACGTGCTCTATAAAAATTTCGTTCGTGCTTTGCCCGAAACGCTTTGCGTAATAGTGGCTTTAGGCATTGTATATACTAGCTCTATCTTTAAATCCATCAATGTTTTGTATCTCACCTTGTATGTATGTATGTACTTTACCTGAATAAATATTTGATTTGATTTGATAAAGGCATTCACGTTTCTACCAATTACAATGTGTCCTCGAAGCCTACACAAGTCCTGTATCGTCCTTCGAGTGAGCTATACATGCAGTCGTAATTTTTGTATTGCTCTAAAGCCATTCACGTGTTCTAGAGACCCCCCTCCCTCCCTCCCACATGTATTACAATCATCCACATGCTCAATAGTTCTCCACATTAGTTACAATCATCAACATGTCCTACGGCCATATAAATATACATCATTTCTACAAACCTTTTAACGTCTGCATGTCTCACAGTCGTTCACTCTGGCACATGCTTTTTACATTTTCACGGATCGGACGGTCTTCCATGAGCCCTACAATTCTCTATATGTGTCCATGAGTCTTCTGTGCATCTTACAGCCTTACACGTGCTTGTGCCTTGAGTCATGCAGCACAGTATTCATACCACCCATCCTCGACTCAAGTCCATTACATCCAACGGTCAACCCCACAGACGCATTCATAAATGTTTACATGTTGTTCATTCAAAACGGGAATTTTCCAAAATACAAATTAATATTATAATATATTAGCATAATGTATATATATAGGCATAGGTTAGGTTAGGTGTTTAGGTTCTGTTGGCGATTATTTGTATTTGTAGTACGTGGGTGAAGCATTTATACCGTTGTGGTTCGAACAAAATTCGTCAGTGAAGCACATGTTCCGGAAGAGTTCGAACGTCATCAGTTGTGAGTCGTGTGTAAACCGTTTTTCATTCATAAACAGGGGGTTTGGCGGGTGCATAGAATCACTTTTAGATTTTTGTTTGGAAGACGGGCTGAAGCATTAGGAGGAGTGTGTTTCGAACACATGAAATGCATTAATCATTTCGATCAAAATTCCAACAAAATCACAGCCCGTCCTCCAAACAAAGATCCAAAAGTGATTCCACGCACCCGCCAAACCCCCTGTTTGTGAATGAAAAGCAGTTTACACACGACTCACAACTGCTGATGTTCGAACATATCCGGAACAAGTGCTTCACTGACTAATTTTGTTCGAATCACAACGCTATAAATGCTTCACCCACGTACTACAAATACAAATACTCGCCAACAGAACCTAAACACCTAACCTAACCTATCCTATGCCTATATATACACAATATGCTAATATATTATAATATTAATTTATACTTGCGAAAATTCCCGTTTTGAATGAACAGCATGTTAAAATTTATGAATGCGTCTGTGGGGTTAACCGCTGAATGTAATGGACTTGAGTCGAGGACGGGTTGCAAAATCAGCAGAATCGTGTAAAATGAATTTATTTCTTACAAATGAGGGAACGACTGCTAGATTGAAGTGCTTCTGTCCTATTTGTTTTTCTGTAGTAACAAGCAATGTTGTTACTACAGAAAACAACAATGTTCTGCTATCCTGTTCAATGTAAAATTACAAAGTGTTGATAAAAAACAGTTCATAATATCATAACAAACAAAAATAAGTTCATCTATCCCCATCTCACAGAATGGTTAGTCGTACATGAAATCAGGAAAGGACGTGAAATGAGTCCAATCTATCAGCCCGCAATGACAAAATCTTGATACAGAACAAGAATATCTTCCAATATTCTTTAGTGTAGTTACAGAGCTAAAAGTGCCTCATACCACATGGTCTAAAATCACTGATAACAAGCCAGTTGCAGGTTTAGTGTTGGAGAGTATGCTAGCTCTTGTTCACATAGTTTAGTAATGAAGTGCATTCATTCATTACAGGGGAATCCCTTAGGGGATTCATTACCTGCAGCTACCTGACATTAAGTATCGATATCCTAGCCTAATTCTGGCGATTATAATGCCCTAATGCCTAGTGGAAGTTTTGTGTTGTCTGTACATATAGTTCTCGGTTTTAAACATATAATCGATTTGAAAATGATCCAGGCCGGACCGAAACGTCGTCGTCCCTTCACCATCTAGTGTGTGGTCTGGTCAACATTCTTCAGCCACGTTATTGTGACTCATCGCCTGCAAACATATAACCCTTTACACTCGTGATTTTTGGCCTGAGTGTCAGTGAATGCTCTTTGTTAATCTTTTGTAACGTATTGATCAACTATTTGGTTGATTAGATACACATGCAGAGTTTAGTGGGGGTTTCATATTTATTTAGTAGTCTTTTTACAGCAACCGGTTTGTTTGCAATGTCGTAGAAGTTGAGACGAATCTTGGAGCAGAGCAGAGAGCTGAGTGAGGCCGGGGGTAGAGAAAGAGCTTGGATGAGGGGTGAGAGTCATAGAGCGTGGCGCTTTAAAATGCAGACGGAGTCTAGGAGCTCGATGCGGGATGAGAGCCTGGAAGCTCGATGCGCCAGAGTGTGGCTGTCTTCTCTGTGTGGTAGCTGAAGCGTCTTGTGAGGGTAGGAACTGGATACGTCGCGTGTTACAATGGTGTTGATGATGTGAGGAATCTCTCAAGCGTCTGTACTGAACCACTGTTGAAATTAGACTGAAGATTATTCATTGATTGATTGTTAAAGATTAAGCCACCCAAAAGGTGGTACGGGCATGGTAGGTGGAGGCTCTTTGGAGCCATTACCAGTACCAATAGCTGATACTGGAGATCTATAGATGGATGGGGTCTTCATGGTCGCCCGCAGGAGGTTGGTCGCCAGGTTGCAGCTTAATGTACGAAGCAACGATGTATATCTGAACAGAACAAGATTATTCGTTGTTGTTTTAGATTCAGCTTCTCGGAACAAAAGTTCCAAGTAGCACGGGCTATGGTGAGCCCGTAGTGGACTTACCTGAAAGGCTGAAACAGGAGAGGGCTGTAGTTGAGAGATTAGTCGATTGACTGATAACG